TAAAAATATTTGAATATTGCATTTACATGACAAAAGTTGTTCATATGCATAAACGGACCAGGCCAGGGCTGGACCATGTTTGGCCATCCCTAATGGATATGCACAAAGTTCGGTTCAAACCGGTACCTAATTATGTCTTCAATGAGACTTGAAAAAGAATCGATCTTTAATGAGACTTGATTTTAATAGTTCCTCTGTTTTTGTCCTCATAGCCCGGTCTTATTGGTTCAAAAAGAAAAAAAAATGGCACATAGTGTGACATGTGAACGAATTGGGCGCGCAGTTATGACGGGACCCAATTTCTTTTTCTCTATTTTAAAGGATATGAGAAAAAAAATTATTTTGTTGTTTTTATAGAAACAACAATTAGTCACTCAGTTTAAAAAAAAATAATCATTTTGATTGGATTTTGAGCAGACCCAATTTCGTCCTTGACTACATGTGTATAGGAGTGCAAATAAGATTAGACAACTTGTCAATCATCATCGTCAACTAATTATTGAATTAGAAACAAGTCATAATCAAAGAATTATGTGCTTTATTTGTATCATCGTTAAGCCATACATAAATATTGTAACGAATAAACAACTTGAGAGAATCTACTCTTGCTTTTTTAATGTACTTCTTGAAGAAATTTACTCAACTTAAACAAATAATTAGAAAAAATTGACGATGAAAATATACGAACACATTACACATACGTTCATGTTCAATTACTTAGCTACAATAGGGTACATGGATGACTTCAATTAGAAGTTAGATACACAAACCTATATGAGCATGAGGTAGAGACGTTCATCTAACATAGGGGTGTTTATCCAAATCGTAAACACCGCACCACAAAGTACGGTTTAGAACTTTCGCGGTGCGGTTTGTGGTTTGTATTTTTACCAAATCACACTATGCGTTTTGCATTTTTACCAAACCGCACTATGCGGTGCAACTTGCGGTTTGAGTTATCAAACCGTAATTCAAACTGCACCGCACCGCATATTTTGTGTATTTTTTAGTTATATAGATATATATATATATATATATATATATATAGAGAGAGAGAGAGAGAGAGAGAGAGAAAGTAATTTATGTAATATTATATTATTGAATTTTGTGCTTTGGACTTTGAGTTTGATCCAATATGACAATCGACAATATTAATAAATTAATTGGACATCTCACAACTCACACATCCAATTTAGTTTGAAGTTTATGTTTTTTACTTCTTAGACTATTTTTTATTATTATGCAATATGTATATAAGAATTGGATTTACTTTAACTCTTTATTTTTTTGGACTACTATCACTTTGTCGTCATTTTATAATGTATTTTTAAATTTGTAATTATTGGATTGTAAACATAAAGTGAGATAGGTACGGTTTGGTCCTAAACCGCACCGTAAACACCCCAAATCCGACTTGTAATCCATTTAGATATATGGGTAATTCGTATTCCAAATCAGAGTTCACAACATATTTATGTAAAACCCAAAGCCTTTATCCAAGTCGAGTAAAGTTATTTCAGTCAACTCGAAAAATGATACTAAACCAAGCTCAAATAACTTTTTAAAGTAGGCTCGAATTCAAGTTTGAAAATTTGTTAATTATCAAGCTCGGGATCGATGGTCGTTCATGCACTCGAACTCATAATTGATTAGCTCGTTTGTTGCCTCAAGTTCGGTAATTTTTCTATTTGAGCAAAAAGTTGAATACCGGCAATCATAACCAGCTCACACGGAACCTACCTTCAATGACACATATTTTTTATATTTTTATCGTATGATTTATGAACATTTGAGTATGTTGACTCGAAAAAGTGTATGCTTGAATGTTTCGGCTTGACTTTAAAATTTTATCGAGTTTTGAATGAGTTGAGTTGAACATTGGTGTTATGAAGTTTGATTGATTAAGTTAAATAAATTTTAGTTTACTAGAAGTGTACTCACAAAATGCAGAACGATACATCTTAATTTTAATGTTTCGTTTTATTTTTTATCTCTTTTGATTTGATAATACGGTTTTTCTGGTTTTGAGAAAACCATAACGCTTTTATGTTTGGATAATATAAATTTGAAGACCCTATAAATATTTGAAAAAGTATATTGATTTTAATATCAAATTAACAATTTAAAAAATTCTTTATATAATTGTTTATTTCAAGTTTTTCTTATAATTTAATTTATTTAAGTTTAATAACAAGTAACTTATTTTAGGTCTAATAACATAATTTTATTTTTAAAATAATAATTAAGTGTTTTGTTAGAATTAAATAATTATCCAAATTATATTTTAAATTTTTTATATTTAAAATGAAGTTGTTTAGAACGACAAGAAAATTTATTAAAATGCTAGCAAGACGCAAGAACAAGAAGATTACATACAAGAAATAGCCGGGACGGGGTTTTGAAGCCAACCCACCCAATTAATCTTCAATTTGCTACTCCTATTAGAGACCCAAAAATATGGCTGAGTCATAAACCCGTCAAAGATAGCCCGCCTTCTTTTGCTTGCACTTGCCAAAGATGGTCGCATTCCGGAACGACCAGATATAGCTAAACAGAGTGACAATAAATGCCTCTAGGCACAATTTCTTACCATTCTTCAACCGCAAATTAGAGAGCCAAGCAATCCAACCCGCATAAGAATTAAACACCGGAATATCCAATTGCCACCACCTACAAATTTGACTCCAAATCTCCAACACCAGTACATGTATAATTTAGCTGAGTCTACGCATACCAGGTCCAAGTGATGTAACTTATAGGTTGTTGTCTGAACATAGGAAAACAATGCAAAGTAAATCTCACTCAAAAGTAAGGTGGGAGTGAGATTCACACAAAACTATCATCTACCTTAAAGAGTAGGTGAGCTGCAGTTTACATGAAGACCCCTAGCCTGAGCTCTATGTGAACTTATGAAAACATAGCCAAACCAAACCAGTTGACCCTATAGATTTTACTCGGAAGTAGGGTGTACGATCTATTTAACTTACGAAAACATAAACCCAGTAAATCTCGATCAAAACCATCATCTACCCTAAAAGAGTAGAACGATTGCTGTTTCACCTTTGGCTGTGTGTGTGTGTAGTTATGAATAAGTAGGAAATGAACATTTCAAAACTTGAGTGATGAGGGTAGAGGCTTATGGTTGCTGTTTCTTTTATGTGAACACCTAACTGAATCAAAGTATGATGTTCATTTGATAGCATAAACTAAGGGGCGTTTACCTAAACACTTACCCGGTAAGCGTTTAACGGTAAAATTCAACTCTATATCTTATTTATCGGGCAAGATTTTTAGTCTACCAAAACGACATCGTATGTAACAATTTATCCGGTAAGCGCTGACCGTGGTAAGAGCCGTCGTCATCACTTACCGGTAAGACTCTCGGTTCGTGCGTTCGCTCTTACCAAGTAAGATTCTTGATCCTTGTCATATTCATCCGGTAAGAGAATGTGACTTGATAAGCACTTACCCGAGTAAGCATTTGGTAAATGGCCCCTAAGATTACTACTTGATGTTGATTACACACAGTGTTTTAATTCATAAATTTCCCTTTTTATTTAACCAAAAAGAAACTTATAAACTTCATAAACTACCAAACGTCTGTCTGCTGGCTATGAACAAACTACTTAATGAGTTTACTTCCTTTGAAATGGCTATTAAAGGGAAAAAGTCAAAATCCAAATGCATAAGTTTCTTTCAAATCCGTTTATTAATTTATTAATTATTTTTAAACACCCTTTGTTAGACAAAGTCATTCTCTCCAATTAGACAAAGTATATCTAGAACCAGTCCATGACCTGCTAACCTCTCCTCCAACTATATACATATATATATATACACACATAAATGTATGTTTCTTCATAGACACTCGAACACACAAATTCACATAGAGCGCGATGAGGATGAGAAGAGGAAGCAGAAAATTGTGGTGGTTGATTCCATGTACACACAAAACGCGATTGCGTACAGAATCACAATTAGATGTAGAAGAGATGTTTAGAACTGAGCTCACAACCATTAATGAAGAAGAAATGCTTAAGACTAAGCTCACAACCATTGATGAAGAGCCGGATACGTATAACAAGAAGAACAATAATGGAGCAAAGCCACAAAGGAAGCGTGTGAAAAAGGAACAAGACTTGGGTCGGGTTTTCACCACTCAATTCAGCCTAAAGAACTCATATGCACTCTTCCTGAACAGGATGACAAGCAGTAGAAGCCTTGGTGGACTTTCAGCATACTAACTTCATCTTCATCTTCATCTTCTTCAACATGTTGTTTCCTCTATATGTCGCTTTTATCTTTATGGAACTTCTCATGTTATTTTATTCTCACTCTTAACATATCAACTCTTTGTGCTGGATCATCTTGTTACTGTATCAAGATAACAAAACTCTTGGGCCAATAACATCATTTTGCAAAAAAGTTTCCAAATGCCCTTCTAGGCGAAGATTCAAATATCGTGAAAATATCGAGATGTTCATCTAGCAAATGGGTGTTCATACAAACCGTCCACACCGCACCACAAAAACACGGTTTAGAACATTCGCGGTGCGTTTTATGGTTTGCATTTTTACCAAACCGCACCATGCGGTGCGGTTTGCGGTTTGAGTTATTAAACCGCAGTTCAAACTGCACCGCACCGCCATATTCTGTACATTTTTTTAATTTTATGTATATATATATATACTAGCGGTGTACCTATGCGATGCAGCGCGGGTGAATCACAATTCTGAAACATTAGTTTGGCCTTGAATCATGAGTTTATGTGGTTATTTTGCAAGTCAACTAAAACTCTAAAATGCGGTACCTTTCCTCCTCCTTTACACATGATCTCACTTATATAATTCATTAGAAACGGATGCATGAACGAATCTTGCTAAAGATGGAGCGAAAGTGTGATGATAGACAAGTGAAGAAAAATGATAACCAAACGATAACCAAACTCCCTCAATTGGTATGGTGATCTATCAACAGATTCTGGGGCTTTAGATCTCTATGCAGAACTCGATGAGAATGACAATAAGCAATACCACGTAACATTTGATATAGGAACATCTGAAAATTGAAAACAATAACCAAAAATTATTTAATGCAAGAAAATCTGAAAGGATCTTCATTACCATCCCTACAAACTGCACTATGTTGCTTGTTTGGTATCCAAATCCTCTCAAAAAAGGGCCTTCATGTACTATAAACTTCTAGAGAGAATGTTATTGAACTTGGAAACCATTGGTATTTCAACTAAGTTCAGTCCCAGGGTGCACCCCAACCTCTAGGAGGCATGAAAAGATAACTCATTTTTACAAGATGAGGATCCTTTGAGAGCTACGAACAAGAGTCCATGTGTTTCTTCAAGTCTTAGACTAGGTACTCAAAGACCAAATACATACGTTTGTCACTGTGCACGACATCATGTAACCTGTCACCAAACATATATCATTCAATAAATAATCTACTGGCAGCAGATATACTAAAAGACACATGATGTATGAACTTTTACCAGTTTAAGTTACATCTATAACAAATTATCTAATCCTAAGCAAAATATTCGAATTAAGAACAGACATAGGTTTTGGTTGGGAGAAGGTAAGGAAGGCTTGAGAGTGCCAAGAGCAGATACTGCATCCCTGTACCAAGTCTCGAGTGTCCTCTTTTAATTTAAACTAGGACTTCATAACTTGAAACTTCAAACATCCATGTTTCGGGAGGACATATACATTTTTTTTTCTCTTAGTAAAGGCTTAAGGTATACTTACATCCACGATTATAGAAGCAGAGTCACAGATCATTGAAAAGCTATATGAAGCTTCATCTATATAATCGAGTAAAACTAATAGAAACATTGGTTCTAGTTTTAAGTTCTTCTTTAATATGACATAAAATTTGACATCTAAGCATTAAAATCTAATTGTCTATCTACGCAAGCAATAAACTTACCTATTGCAGAAGTAGAGTTACAGTCTTAAGAATTGCCAACATTAATTGCAATGTTCTTTCTTTTGAGAATAGTGGAGAGTGAAAGCCATTCAGGTAGAAAGTAAACAGGAATGGATTTTGTGTTTATCGTGTTAACTGAATGGATTTTGTGTTTATCGTGTTAACTGAATGGATTTTGCATTCAACATATTCTTCTAATACATATGACAACACTTACTGACTAATTTAATGTATTTCATCTAATACATATGACAACAGATTCATAATATTACTTTTTCATGATTCATATTCTCAATAAGCAGACAGTCCATTTTGTCAGGTTGCTGCTTTGGCACACACACACTATGCACACAACAACAGTTATACAGGAGCAAAGACCAACAGTTATACAGGGCTAATGTAAATCCTTATACATATCTATCTATATCTATATCTATACACACACACACAGAGCAGGGCTATTCAATCTTAGACTTAGCCCTACTCTGTCCAAAACCAAGGATTAAATACAGTTAACATAATGGGTTTAATAAACCAAGGACTTAGCCCTGCTCTGTCCAAAACCAAGGATTAAAAACAGAATGCAGTCTCATTTGCAAACCACATGCCCTTGTGTGTGTGTGTTATGTTTTGTGTTCCACTTAAACAAAAACAGGTCGTTTCTGTTTCTTAAATCTACAGCTGGTGGAAACAGCATTATGTTTCTGTTTCTTAAACCTGCAACATTCTGTTTCTGTGTGTGTATAAGATGAAATGGAAACAACATCTGCTGTAGTCTTTTGCCATGAATCTATCTATTTATATCATTCATATACAATCCACTTAATTCATCAGATTAATAGAAGGAACTTACTCATAAAAGATCAATAGCCACATGAACAGTTACTCATCATGAACAAAAGGTAACATGTTTTAGTTTTCTAACTTTTAAGTTGAAATGTGATTACCTTGTGTATTGTGTTCCAAGGTGTAAAGGCTATAATGTAGCATAAGAAGAAGTTACGTGTACTTAATGCAGCCATGCCAATTGGACACATTATGGATCACCACATCCTTTTAAAACATAAGTCTTAAGTTGAGCCTTGTGACTTCAAACTGACACCCTCTTTTTGCTAACTTTAGACTGAACTACTCAGTTTTAGAGTAAATTGTATAAAACTGCTACATACAAATAGCTCATATTTTTTCTGTTGATATATTCATGTAAAGTTCCAACCAAAAAAAGTGTCAGCTTAATAAATTGTACAAGACTGCTGCAAAGTTACCTACAACCACTAAACAAGTTGGAGTGAACAGTGTGGCCAGATGTGTGTGTGTGTGTGTCTATAAGATGAAATGGAAACAAACCATACAGAAATCAAAAACAAAATGAGGATGGCAGCTGTTTATAACCAAACTTCACAAACACAAAAAAAAAAGCTGTTAATTTTGGTACTTTGTAAACTAAGATGCTATATATACACAATATTCTCACGTTGAAATACTTCAGACCTTGAAATCCTACAACAGATTTAACCTGATTCTAGTATACATGAATGGTGAAATATTGTATGTACATGCATATATACACACATAACTTTAAATGATGCGTGTGTGTCTATATATGCGTGTGTGGTTGTGACATAGCAGAGATGTACAAGGTTCTATAGTTACTTGTGTTAGAGATTTGTTTGTTTTCAAAGATTTTATGTATTCAGAAGTTAAGGCATGGGTGATTCAAAGATTTTACAGTGTAGGAAATGTATTCTTACCTCTCAGTTTAGAGCTAAACCACAAGCTGTCAAATGCTGAGCAAGTATGGAGGTCAATATGTGTACATTAATTCCCTTTAGCTTTTCTACCTAACTGCTGATAGTTCAAGCTATGACTGTTTGCTATGTAAATCCTAACATGACTGTTTGTTATGTAAATCCTAACAGCAGATTCTGACAGCAGAACATCACCTAACTCAACAGGTTATATGTGTAGGGATGAATTTCTTCTTTATGGAAAAAGCACACACACAAAAGAATATTTATTATCTAATCAATCTATGAAAACTGCACTTAACTATTGAAACAAAAATTGCAGATTTGGAGGAGCGACGAAGATTTGTGCAGTCATATCTTAGCTCTACAGGTTAGTGTATATACATATATCTTAAATATCTTGGGTTTTCCTCTAATATCCATATCTGGTCAAAAAAGTTAATCCTTGTTTTCACTGGTGATTTACATTGCAATGAAGCATTTGAACAAGTCAAGTGTTTTTAAAATAATTAATGTTGCTGTCATCAAAACTTTGACATGGTACAAGTTAGTTATTTGAACTATTTTTCTACCAAATTCACCATTTGCTTCTTGCATTATTCACAGGCACTTAACTGTTGAAACAAAAATTGCAAGTTATCTTACCATTTTCCAATTTACCATCAAGTAAGTTCAACTTACCTACACTACATAACCATGCACAAACTTAATGGACTAAAACTAACAATGGACAGATTTGATTTTGGACAGATCCGAGAGTGGAAGGGAAAATAGTCAAATGTAAAGTAAAAAGTCATATATAGTTGTGCACATTGCTCATACATGTAAGCTAGCATGCATTGTTCATAGATGACATGTTTTTCAACACAGGATTTAGTAGTCCTTTCTTAATTAGTAGAAAACATATGCTTTGGTTAAACTATAATGCAGATAATATGTTAAAGATGATAATGTTCCAGCCCAAATTGAAGAGGTAACAAACAATGGAATGAAAATGTATCTGATGGCCCTCATGATTATTGATGTTTTATTCATCACCAACTTTGGTTTTTCTCTAATTTTTAGGGTCTATATTTGGGTTCTGTTGGAGCTGCCAATAACAAGAGCCTTTTGAAAAGCTTGAATGTTACTCACATTTTAACTGCTGCCAATTCACTACCTCCTGCATACCCAAATGATTTCACTTACAAAATTGTTGATGGTAAGAAAGTTAGTGAAGTATTTCCTTGTATGTTCAAATTTGTCTATCATACAACTATCTGTCCCTGTTGTTGCCATAAAAATAACCTCTGCTTTGAACTATCTGTCCTTGTACCTATACCTGTACCTGTACACTCATCTTACTTTTTCATGATTCATCTTCTCAATATTTATGATAAAGGGTTCTAATATAGTTTATGCTAAGGATATGTTTATCCTTGCTTGGTTTATGTGTTTTGACATACCTTACTTTTTTGTATTTCTCAATGCCCCTACTCGTTATTTTTTCTCCTTTTTATTTTTCTCGTTCTATGTTCCACCATGTGCTAGTCCTTGTTCCTTATACGCACTATTGCATTTTAGATATTTCATTAAACAAGCTGCTAAAATATTGTATTAACTTACTCTATAACTTGATAAATACAAGAAATATGAATCATTTACCTTGACAATCTTTGGGTCGGCCCAAGGCTGCTTCTTTCGCACTTGAGCAAGTAGATCACCAACTGAAATGAAATGGAAACAAAAATTAACCAAGCCCTGTGTCTTTTTATGGGAACTTTTTTTTCATGAAGAACAACTGCTCTTCACCCACAAAAATCAAAAGGAAACAGACCCATAACTCTTTTTTAATGAAGAAACAGATATGTGTGTGTGTATAAGATGAAATCGGAACATAAATGAATTCCAAAGCTGCTCTTCACCCACAAAAATCAAAAGGAAACAGACCCACAAAAATCAATGAAGAAACATATGTGTGTGTATAGAAGATGAAATCGAAATAGGAAGAAAGCATACAAAAAAGAAAGAATACCTCCAAATTCTAGGGTTTTGAAGAATCTGTGAAATTAAATCAACAGGGAGGTGGGATCTATATGTATCAATGAGGTTGTGATACATCAAATCACTTTGATAGATGAAATCGGTTCTCTGATCGAGGTGATACATCCATACCACCATTGTTATGTTCTGTGAAGAAGAAAGCGCTCTGTTTCTAACCAAAAATGTCTTTTTGTTTTGTGGTCGCAGAAAAAGGATAAGAAGAAGAGGAAAGCTGTTGGTCTTGTGGTAGTAGAGTAAGGAAACAGAAGAAGAAGAAAGACAGAAGAAGATACCGGCCCAAAATGGGTAATTTTTGGTGTTAGAGGGAAGTATTGCATATACAACTTGTACCTTATGCATAATGTTTGGTAATTAAGGGTTTTCTGAATTTGTTGCATAAAATTATTGTAACTTATGCTTAGTAACTTGTATTCAAAACTTTGTCTTAAATGATTAAATATGTAGTATAGATATCTATATTATATTATAAAATATTTGACAAAAATTTTTAAAAACCATTTTTATGCGTAAAATGTTGTTTATTAATGCATATTACTTAAAACTCAAGATTACAAATCGATTGTGCATAAGTACAACTTATTAAAGCTCC